ACAAGCAACAAGATAACCTTGTGGATTTCTATACCAGGATACCTCTAGTTAGAATGATTAACTCGAGAAAATCATAATAAGAGGTTGCTTCATAATATCCACGGGATTTCCCAAGCTTATAGTCTTGTTTATCGGCTCAAAAGTTTACTGGAGAAACTTTACTTGCTTGCTAACTGCCTGTCTTTATTGAATATCCTTTTGAGTGCAAACAATAAATCCGTGAAACACTAATTACTAAATAGTACAAAATAGTGCTAATTAAACAATAGAAAACAATGGAATTTGCAAGAAATTGTGCTATTTAGTATTACTAAAGTTTCACGGTTATATTGTTTGCACTCTAGCATTTCTWCACATTCAACGCAATACATCAAAATATTTTAGCGGAGATTGCCCATTGTCTATCAAACACTAAGCATTTAACATGCGTTCTAAGTTAAAGGGGATTYCCATGCAAGGTGCACTGTTAAAAAAATTACATCAGAAATATTTTGATGAAGATTCCCCTTGACCTATGAAAGCAATGCATTCTACTTCAAGGGTTTCCTCGCGTTAACTGTAAAGTGAATTCCCTTTAGTTGTTCAATGTAAAGGTAATTCCCTCGTGTTGTTCACTGAAAAGGCGATACCCTTTAGTTGTTCAATGTGAAGGCGATTCCCTAGTGTTGATCAACGTAATAGGGATTACCTCGTGTTGTGAACTGTAAAGCGCATTTCCTAATGGCGTGAACGTCTAGCTAAATGTGTATAGTTATTTGCAATTGAAAGACATGAAGTTAGGTAAAGAGTCGGCAAGCAGAAAAGTTGTTTCCCTTGCTCACTATCATTCGAATGTATTTTCGTACAYCCGATCTATAGTGGGCAATGCTACCACAGAACAAAACACTGTATATCATTGAATAAGACAGAGTAATTTTGTCCTGTGGATATATAAGATTAATGCTCACTTGTTCTGGGCTCAAAAAAATTAAAGATTTAGTAACAACCAAGAGGAACAAAAAAATGCTCTCCGATATTTAAAAAAAAAAATTAAGGCTTTGACAGGGCATAAGGAAAATAGCCGAGTTGAGAGAGAATAAAATAAAAAATTCTTAAATCACAGTGCTAATCGAAAAGCCGTRAGCACCTAGAAATATTTCCGGAATGTTCTATCGGAATGACTTTCTAACCACAAGATAAYGGAAAGATAACAGTCAYGCTCGAATGATTAGCTAAGAAACATACTTGAAATATTTCTAGGTGCCCACGTTTTTTTCGATAGGTACTGTAAAATGAGGGAAAAAAGGCAGAAATTGATTGGTGAATGTTTTTTTGGCTACACAAAAGAACTTAATGAATGATCAATAGATCTCTTGCTGATTCCCCACTCCCTGCAAAAACTGCTTGTCACTGCTCAGCAATGATGGAGATGCAATAGTAATGCCAGACTAGACTACAATCTGCTCCTAGCAAAGTAAAAAATTCAAGCRTGCACAGCACAAGATTATTATATTAATGATAAATAGGCACAGTATCTGGCCAAGGCTGTGGATATCACGCAAGCCTAAAGGTGTCACGCGAGATTACTATAGTGTTGTGTGACATAAACCCAGGGGTYATATTTGAAGTTCCATACCACTAGGTTAATGGTGAAACAGCTTTCCGTTCACAAAGAGTGAGGTTGAGAAATTCTGACCTAGAGATGATTTAGTTAGTGAGTTTTTTCCTCCAGAAAAGAGTCGGGTGGCGTTTAATCCTATTCTGGTTCTGATTCAGATCCTTCTTCATCTGCAGTCTCAAGCCAGGTAAGCCATGTGTTGACCTGTGAAAGATAAAAGAAACATGTCACGCAAAGGCACAGTGTGCTGTAATGAAATACAACACTTGTTGGTTTTAAGTCACCAAGATATAAGCCTACTAGTCTGCTAACACAAAATACAAATATACTTTCAGATATAATCCCCATTAGTCTGCCTATGCAAATATCCATCCTGTTATAAACCTCCTTGGTCGTTAGTCTACCAGTCTGCCAGTGCAAATATTGATGGGTTGCAAGCATTCCCAAGAAAGTCAAAAGACAAAAGCATGGYGGCCACTGTGGTGCCGTTAACAATGGATGCTAAAGAGAAATCTTTTGTTAATGGCACCAATGCTCCCCYGAGAGGCCACGATGACGTAACGTGCACTGAATCAAGGAATCCTTCCAAAGCCCACTWGTTGGTTGGGATTAAGCCRGGAATRAAAATATTTCATCCAATGACTCAGTTAACATCATTATACCTGGAATAATGCCCTTCCCTTGCTAGGAAAGCCATCATCATCCTTTCTCAAGGCCCTCAAATTTGTTGATATGGGATAGGGTGGGGTGAAAGTGGTTGGGATGGAGCCGGGAATAACAATCAGTTGGAATAATGCCYTTCCCTTGCCAGGGAAGCTATCATCATCTTTTTCCAAGGTCCTCAAATGTGGTGGGATGAGGATGAACGGGATGGAGCCGGGAATAAAAATGTTCAATTGAATGACTCAGTTACCATCATTTTACCTGGAATAATGCTCTTCCCTTGCCAGGATAGTCATCATTAACATCTTCCTTCCACTTGACAAATGCTTCTTCTTCAACAATTTCCAAGTCGTACAGCAGCATGAACATGCGCAGTAGAAGTCCTTGACAAAACAAAATAAATTAATGATAAATTAATAATTTTATGTTTCTCAATTAAGGAGAGAAAAAAGCAACTTATAGTGCCACTACACAAACCAAGGCCACCCAGACACATTTTGATACAAATATATCTTCGGGTAAGCTGTTGCGAAGCTTCATAGCTGCTGTCATAAAGGCTCTTCCGCCAGCTGGGTGCAGGTTGTACAAAGGGTGGATAGCGCTACCAAACAGATAAATCCTTATCCAGTGGATAAAATAACTTTATCCACTGGATAAGATTTCAGTATTCGTTGGATATTGTTATCCACTCTTCATACGACCTRGCCCAGGGTTTGTGACATTAAAGCGCAAACTTGTTGCTCATCTAAACAATGAGATTTACTTACCTTTTGGGAAAGAATTAGTATGGCAGAATACTTGCAGAGAATACAATGCTCTGACCTAAAACAAAATGAGCCAATAATGTTATTTYATTTGTTTAACATAATTTTTTTCAGTATTACAAAAATCAAAGATAACATTTGTTTTACCTGAAGATCAATCTTTTCATGGAGAAATTGGTCAAGAAGCGGCTGAAAGATAAAAATTTGTTTAAAATGCATGCTGTAGAACATTCCTTGAGCYATTTGGAAAAACTGTTTATTTTCATCACTTCACATATTTGAACTCAATGCTTCATTTTAGAGGGTTTGAAAAATACTACTCTTCCCAGTAGACCGAGGTAGTTGTGATTTTTTAACCTCCTTCGTAGCATCTGTTATGTTATCCGCAAGTACATTTCAAATCGACCACGTGATGCCAATGTTGTACCACGAGGACAAGTTTTTTACACCACGTGATTAACACTTGACTGAATTTTGATTTGAAATGTACTTGCAGATAACATAACAGATGCTACGAAGGCAATTAAAAAATCACAACTACCTCGGTCTACCGGGAAGAGTAGTATAAAGTTCAGGATTCAATAATGAGGAGGTGAGGAAAATTTAAAAAAAAAAACAACAAAAAACTAGAAAAAAACAAACAACAACAACAACAACAAAAAAGAGAAGTGTTTACAGTTCAAGTGTTGTGACTGTAATATTTATTCTCTTTTGACAGTCTGATCTTTCCTGAGTCTATGAAGGAAATAAGACAAATGCCTTACCTTGATCTTTTTCATGGCACTTTTCTCCTTCTCAACCAGGTCTTTGTCAGGGGACTGTGTTTTGTCTACACCTCTACCCATCGTACTRTCATGGGTAGCATACTTGAGGATGCTGAAAATGAATGGAATCAGATCAAATCATTTCAAATTAAGATCATTCCAGCGTCATCAGCATCATCTCTATCTTCAACACTTCATTATCATCATCATCATCGTCATCACCACCATCATCTCTATCTCTCTCTATGCAGAATGCCTTGATATCGACAATGAACATGCCGGCTATGGCATAACATGCACCTCAAGAAAGAGTAAAAGGTTAACTTACCAGGTGGTAAGGACACTGACAAATTCCGGCTGGCTCTGAAGTGACACATCAATGTTTTCCTTGATCCACTTGTAGATATTAGAGGAATTAGGGTCTTCTTCGATCTTCTTGTACAGTTCTGATTGGATCCTCAGCAGTGGAAACAGAAAYGACAGGCTCTGGAACAACAAAAAAAGGAATGGAGTTTCATTTGGTGTTAGAAAAAGATTTTTTTTCGGGGACAAAATAACTTCGTATGCATACAGGGGAGTGGTAATGGTGAAGGGGAGGCAGCAAGGTGTGTTGGAAATGCAAATAGACTGTACCCTAGGCTGTGTTCATGATGTATGGCAGAGGGGGGGCAGGTAAAAATTGCCCAAAATAATTCTTAACACCCCCCTTAAAGTCATGCAAAAAAATATGATTCCCCCCTAAGCAAGGCTTGTAGCTTTTTCCAGCAATTGTGCGTCCCAACCATTTTTCTGATAAATATTTGCCCATCCCCCCCTTTTTCCTACCAAAATTTTCTGGAAGCCCCCTCAATTTCACCTGCCCCCCACCCCCCCTCTGTTATACATTATGAACGCAGCCTAGGGTACAGTCTATGTGCATTTCCAACACACAATGTCAACCGATCAGGCTGTCCTTGGTCCCATCATGCTAAATAAGGCAGGGCTCGAAATAGAACACTGTTTTAGCCTGCCATGGTAAAGGAGCATGGCAAAAGGAGGTCCTTCCAGTAAATTTTGCATGCAATTTTATTATTCATTTGGCAGGGCATCCTTATTTTCGCCTGCCAAACTTGAAATTTTGCCTGTCATTTGGCCATTGGTAGGCCACTATTTCGAGCCCTGTAAGGGAGGGAGAAGAAGATGGCAAATCAGGAGTGGGGTGGTAATGGCAAAATGGAGGCATGGTGTGTTGGGATTGTGCGCAGGTTGTATGTCATGCGATCAGGCTGCTTTTGGTCCCATGATGCCCTGGGAGACTTCAGATGGCCAATCAGAGCACAGGATTTGTAATAGACCATTAGTAAGTTTAGACTATAGTATGTACCTGTTCATCCAGCATCTCCATCATCTT